TTGACATTTAAAATATAATCCCTTCTTATTTTGACAGAATATTATAATACATGATAGGAACTGACATTGATTGACTTAGAAGTTCCTTTCTGGTGAAGAATTATTGTTTAAAGGCTGGTCAGGCCCTGTTCTCTGAGAGATGGGCTGGAAGCATTTCTTACCAGATTAGTACTTGCAATCAGTATTTTTTAATTCATGCAGAAAATAATCATTTCCTAATTTTGGAACTATGAAATGGATGTGTGAATTTCTAGAGAATATAGAAAATTGTTGAAGAAAGTATAGTAACCAGAAATAATATATTACATCACTTGTTACATTTTATTGACATAAATTTGCAGTCTGGAAAAGAAGTAATATTTATATTTATTTATTTATAATTTTTGGCACTGTTGCTTATGAAGATGTTTAATATTTATCTAAGGAACTATGAGTGGTGGTGGCAAGACAGTTTTGCGGGGTCGCATGGGACAGTCTGTGGCAGTTACAGCTTCTGTTGGAACTCCCAGAAAGCTAGATCAAATGGAACAGAAACTGCAGCATTTGGAGTCCCGTGCTAGGCAGCTTTGTACACGGCAGGTCTCATTGGAAGACCAAGTGACCTTGTTGTCACAGCAATTGCAGAAAATGAGAATGAATTTGAACAAATTTAAGATGGAGATTCAGGTATGTTGATGGCTGTAAAATAATCTCCATGTTTAGAAATGTATGACACACCTTATTAAGTACAAGACATATATATGAAGGACTGTTCAAAATAAAGGGAAAATTATGTAGTATTTGTTGTAGTACAAATGTGTGTGCATATCTAACTAATTCACTTTATAGTACATGATCTTCCTTCAACAATTGGTAATCAGATCAAGAAGTTTTCCATTGCATAGGAACAACAATTTTCATCACAAAAGCCCACTTTTGGATCATCCTGAGCCAACTAATATCAGGCAATATCTTTGCAACATATTTGTCTATGATAAATTTTAATACTTTCCTACTTCCCCAAGACCTAGGTTTAGATGGAATATTATTATTATTTATTAGTGATTTATTTAATGATACTGTCATATACTGTTTCCAAATTTTCTATGTTTTCTTTGAAATATTGTAAGGCAGATAGAATCAAAGTGGCAGAAATTTTTTACACTTTACCATAACCGCAGTGACATCCTTTGCAGTAATAAAACCAGACCACCCTCACGCTGACAGATGTGCTGCCAGCCTCATCATGAATATGCAATACACCTCAATTTGTTGCAACTTTTTCTTTTTTAACAAAACGTGTAGGGTAGTCGAGAAAATACATAATTTGCTTACCCTTGTAACAACTTTCACATAATTACTGTCCAAAATTATGTTTCCCTAAACTGTAATCTTTCAGTGTTATAACTTGGTACCATTCCATTGCTAGCCACTATTATGTTGCAATCAGTGCTGAAAAAAGGATTATTTCAGTTTTCAGCTGATCAACTTCCTGTTCTACAAAATCAGCTGAAGCGGCAGGAGGAGAAATTAAGAGAAGCTGCCCCTAATCCAGCGCATGTTAAGAAACTCACAGACATTGTTTCTAAGGCTCAGGCAGGTACTGACATGAAACTCTGTACTACTTTTGAATTTATGACCAATTTTCCATTATGGCTGTATCCGGACAAGTCCATGGACATTGCCCCGGCTGGTTTCCGTAAGATATAATCTAGGTTATTAAGGAAATTGGTTTTAAAATTTATATTTTACAAAGAACATGGGCTGGCAACCCAACTTAGTGGAAATTTCCATTGAGGGTGTTTTGGTTTACCTCACCCCCCATCTTGTTTGGCATCTTAGATGTTTCCAGAAGGCTGTATTCTACCTTCACACCCTGTTCCTGCCAAACTGTGGCTAGCCAATAGGAGAGGAATTAAAGAAAATAAATGTAGACATCTTCCTATTTTTCTCAGAACTCATGTGAGTTCTAGTGAAGCTAATAAATACAGTAGCTGTCTTAGGAAACTGCAAGAAGAATTTTGTGATTGATTTGAGGAAAGTAATAAATGAAATTGAGCTGTTACTTCTCCTTTCTCATTTGGTGTTGAAAAACAACAGATAATCTTCAGGTAGAACTGACTGATCAGCAAAATGTTGAGAAACAGAGAGGTTAAATTCTGTGAGGTGTCTCTTTTTTCTCTCTTTTCCCTTCCGTTATGTGAATCTAAATACAGTAGTTTCATTAGACCCTTGAAGGAACTTTTTTTTCTGCCTTTACTCACTTCTTTAATGAAGTGAAACAAATCATAGTTAAGAGTATGGGTTGAACATTTGGAAGCAGTTTTGCATATTGCAGTGTCAACTTTTACATCTAAAATCAGTTGGTGTATTAACTTTGATAAGACTGACATTGATGCACGCAATTGAAATTTATTTACATTTATAACATACTTAAGAAGAGAGCATGGCTCATTTTGGCACACTAAACCCACATAAGTTCTAATTTTGTTCTTCAAGGAAAAAGTTTTCTCACCCCTTATTTATAAGGTATGGGTTCTGAAAGGCATTGATTTATTTGAAAATGCACAAATTGCTGTTCTGATGCCATATGTGCTGTGATATTTTTATAGTGAGTAAGTGGGTGAGTTGTTCGACATGAATTAATTAATTTTGTCACAAATATCATTTTGAAGATTTCTGTCTTCTGGGTTGTTGCACTGTGTAGTCTGATCGATGTTAACCAACTGCCTCCGTCATCGCCCTGATGACAGAAGCAGTATGACCTCTGAAACGTTGGTTAACATCTTCCAGACTACACAGAGCAACAACCCAGAAGACAGAAATCTGCATACTCACCGCTGTGAAAACCTCAAATCTTAAATATCATGTTGATTTGTTCTGCTACATTTTCAGAAGGTAGTGATTGTCACATTCTTACGTATTAAATACCTCCATAAGACAGACTGATAACAATGTTTAATATCATTTGTTTAAGGCAAAAAGGAGAATTGAACTGATGGTTCCTTTGTTCATGTGAGTTTCTTTTGTATGCAGAGTATGATGTTGCCACAGAGAATGCAGGAGGAGTGGAGTCACAAGTTCAGGGTCTACATAAGCAGATCATGGCTATCACAGGGGGGCGTATGAAAGCTGCCCAGAAGAAGGTGGATGATGTGTCTAAGAATGTGGACAAAGTGAGGCAAGAGGTGACTAAGCTGAAAGTTGGCATCAGAACTTCAGAAAGGTTAGTTTTATTGTAGATCTTACATTGGGTATACATAATAGATTGAAACTGAAGTGGAGTTATGTTGAATGAGGGAAACAAGAAATGCATAGAAGACTTTGAAGTATGGTTCATAGGTCGGCTGATGTGAATGTAGTGATGAATCTACAGGTGTCAGCAATGTTTCCCATTGATGAATAGCTATTCATTGAGTTCATATACTATGTAGTTAGTGCAAGTGCAGACATTGCAAGTTTTTGGCTTATCTCTACATAAATTCCAATTTTTTATGTACAAAATAAAGTGATGTATTTCTTATGTGATGTAAATCAGTATGAGCTTTATGATTCATATCGTATTTATTTTGTATTTGAATCCATTCCTGGTCCTAGTTTTTCTGACTGATATTTCTCATTTCAGGCAAATGCTGTATTATTATTGTTGTTGTTATTATTATTATTATTATTATTATTATAATTTTTTTTTTAATGTTTGAAGATGGCTATCTTCTACGAAGTTAATCCATATAGTCTGGTAAAAGTTTACCCATGTTTCAGCGGTGCTTGCTGCCTCCATCATTGGGGTGATTGCCCTAATAATGGAGGCAGCAAGCACCTCGGAAACATGGGTAAACTTTTACCAGACTATATGGATTAACTTCCTAGAAGATAGCCATCTTTATACTCACTGCCATGGGAATGTGAAATCTCATTTCTTGGTTTTGTTCTACAGTATGTAAGGCTTACTTATACTAATTTTTTGTTGTAGGAATGCGAAGAAATGTGTTGAAAAAATAGAAAACATGGAGCAAGAGATAGAAGAGTGTGAGAAGAAAATGTTAGGCATGCAGAAGGAACAAGGAAAAATTGAGTCAGAAGGACAGGTTATACTGGACGAACTGAAAACTATCTCGGTATGTTCTGCTGTTCAGCCATTTGTAATGTCTTAGAATACTTAAAGATCATTGCAATATTGAAATGATGAAACATGACCCCTTTCTGCATTAATTCCATATGTAGTCTGCATGTGATGTGTTATCTTCTTGATGTCAGTCTTTTAAATGCTGAGAGAAACTGCCATGTTTAACTTTGGTATTACAGTGAAACCTCTATCTATCGTTCCCGGAACTATCGTTTTCCCGGATGCATCGTCCGTTTTGTTCGGTCCCGAATACATCCCATATAAAATAATGTTCCATTTTCCCGCTTCTATCGTTCCTCGAACTATCGTTTTATCGCATCGATCGTTCAAAAATCTTAGTCCCGGCCCACAATTTTCCCGCAATGATCGTTTCTGAGAAATTAAAATGCTGGGTTTTGAGATAAATTAATACCGAAAGACGCAGAATGTTTTTGGAATACACAGTAGCGGTAACCTGTGAGGAAGACGACGAATGCGAGCCCGAAGCTGTGCCGAGTTTTGCCGAAGCACACGCTGCATTGGCAAAAGTGAAGTCGTTCTTTTATGCCCATAATATTAGCGAACGTGACGAGGAAAACATTTTGAACGTGGAAAGTACTCTGTTTGGTCTAAAACGTAAAGTTTCGACAAACCAGTTGTCCATTAAAGACTTTTTTGGTAAAAAGAAGTAACTTTGAAAGAGAAACATTGTTTTTTTTTAAATTTTTAATGCTTTCCCGCATCTATCGTTTTCCCGCATCTATCGTTTTTATTTCCCACCCCCGCCGAAAACGATGCATCGAGGTTTCACTGTATTTAATTGAAATAGAAAGCAGGCAAAGGAACATGGTTTACTCTAATTTGTTTCTGAGTTTCATGTTACAATTTCTAATTAACTCCACAGAACTTAATTCTTTTTTGAGAAGCTTGGCACATCAGTATGTGAAAGGAAGAGGAATTGTGGAAATTAAGGTGGTACTTGGAATGAGTAATTGTGCCTGCCTTATCACAGATAACCTGTGCACCCCTTATTTTATGAATCTATGCAGGATGTTTCAAATGTGGTATTAGATTTGGGGACAGTACAAATATTCAGAATTAAATATGTATATGTGTGGCAAATGAAATACCTTCATTGTGTTAGTTTAGTTCTTTTCTGTATTGCACTGGAGAGCATGCCTCTTCATTGACTCACAACATTGTAATGTGTAGACAATGAAAACACCTACATAAATTCCTGTGATTGTCATTATCATGTAGGACTCAGTGGTGTCAAAGGAAGAAGACATGGTGAGTCTGAAAGAAGAGCTTGCTGAAATCCAAAAGGAAGAAAATAAATTGAAAGCAGAGAAATTAGAAGTTGACCAGAAGATAGATAACATTAATAAGAACATCCATGAGAATAGAACAAAGATACATGCTCTCAGAAAACAGGTAAGATTGGTTTAAGTCTTTGAAAGTGTCTGCTTCGTGCAGGGTCTTTCCTGAGGAGTTGATAGTTGTTGCTACATAATGGTGAAAGAACGAACTACATGTAATTTTAAACACGTAGCAGAGATTACCAGTACAGCAATGTAATCAGTCTTTGAATGTTTCCACTTTTAATTTTTGTAGTGTCTTTTGTCTCTCCTATACTGCAGTTCTCCCTGTATTCTTCTTCCATTCCATCTGGCTCAAGTTTAACACCTTACCAGAGTTTCGTCATAACATGGCCAAACAATTCTCATCTTACCTATTGCCTTGCTTTCTGCCCTCACTACTCCCTTTTGAATCCTTGTTTTTCTAGCTGTGCTTTGCAGGGATCTTATCTTAGCAGCCATTTTGGTTCTTTTCATTGTTTCAGTTCAGTATATAAACAAAGGAATGAAGTAGCTGTAATACAGAATTGTTTTCTGACTCCAAATGTGTTTAGACTATGAAAGTGAATGTATTTACCCTGACACTGCAAATAGACTACCCAAATTAATGGTGACATGAGGCCAGTGTTGAAAGTGGCCTGGGGTGCATAGTAACATCGCACGGCGCACGTGCTAGACGCCAATCACGGCTCAGTCCACGTGTTACTTACTTTCTCCTCCACTATCCTGCATGACCAACACTGACCTCACTTACAGTGAAGGTTTTCTGGGCCAAAATAGGTCAATGAATGTTCCAACTACTTACTGCTTGATTATCATGCTTTATTGCTTTAATCTCAGTATTCCATATTCTCCCAATACCCTTCTTCTTCTATGGCTCTCTGGTCCATGGCCTCCTCAATCCTCCTCTTCCATTCGGTCCTCTGTTAGGTCCGTCTGTCCGAGGCATTGATTGAGGTTTTGAAACATCTTCCATTTTATGGTGCAAGGTTGTTAGCCTTGCGACCAACCCCCAACCTGGAGGACCCTCCCAATATACACAAGCTTGCTTTTTTGCAGTTAAATTCACTACATCTTCAGGAAATCCCTGGGGAAGAGTCAGTGGGGGAGCTCAAACAGCTAACAGAGGAAGATCTAAATCAAGTAGACATCAAAGAATTGCAGTACAAAGTGAGCTTGCTTGAGGACAGGTTGAGATCGAGCCAGCCGAACATGGCAGCCATCAAAGAATACAAACAGAAGGTAACTATAGTTCTGATATTATTCAAGTATAGCCTGTTGTAATTGTGATATTTTTATAATTGTAATTTGAAGAACAACAGTAATCCATAATGTGAAATGGTAAGTGTTGTTTTATGATTATTTAATTACACTGTATCAAATACCTTAGGTCACGATGACTATGAATAATGAATTGGGAATGAAGTGGCTGTGATTTGTTGAAAGGTGATGTCACAGCATCGGTTTATAGGGGATATGAAAATACGATCGTCCTGATGTCGGAGGCAGTATGACCTCTGAAACGTTGGTAAACATCGACCAGACTACACAGCGCAACAACCCAGAAGACAGAAATCTTCCTATCTCATATACTTTGATTAAATAGAATATAGTCTGATTAAAATGTAAATAGAAGGTGTAGTTTTGTCATGTTTTGTGCTCGATTGTGGAAGTAAGAAATGTCATTTAAAAAAGCTTAAAATTTACATAAAAAAGTATTGGAGCAGAATCTACTGAACTCATGGACCTGCAGTTGATAAACACTGATTTAGTGAGTTATTTGTTGGATGTTGCTAGGCTGATACATGTGGTAAGGTGTATTATAAAACAAAATGGGAAGGAAATCATTGGTGAAATAATCAAATCATTTCATTCATAAGCTTTCTTGTCACCTCCAACATCTTGATGTTTTTTAGCCTCTCTTTAGATCTCTTAGCCAAAATTAGGCTTGGCCCACAAAACATTTTGTTGTAATTTTATCATAGTATGAGATTCAAACCCTTTTCCAGTAATAAGATTCCCATATATCCAGGCTATAAATATTGATGGTTTGCAGTTATTTATTTAATGACTGGAAAGTACAAAGCATATATGATCTGATACTAATTTTACCAGGTAAATGTGGATGGTGTCATAATACCAAACAAGTCTAGTGTGTTTTTCCCACTTAAAGCAAAATTAGGAAATGTACATGTGCATGCACATTCACTGAAGTCTTAAGATACTAATCCAACATTTGCAGAGAGTGACTGAGAGAAATCTCAGTCTAGTGGTCACTCAAATTTGTAAGAGAAACATTGACATTCTTATTATCTGTAGGAGAATCTGTACCTCCAGCGAGTATCTGAACTAGAGCTGAGCACTGAAAGACGTAATGAGATGCGGAGGAACTACGACATGGTGCGCAAGAATCGCTTCAGTGAGTTTATGCATGGGTTTTCAGCTATTACATCTAAGCTGAAGGAGATGTACCAAATGATCACACTGGGTGGAGATGCAGAATTGGAGCTTGTGGATTCATTGGATCCCTTCAGTGAAGGAATCAACTTCAGGTCAGCATGCATTATCATTTGTGTTACACTTCTGATATGTTTTAAATGGAACAAAGTTAATTTCCAGGAAAAGTATTGTACTGATAAAATTCTTTATAAAGAAGTGGGTATTAAAAGCAGTTACTGTTTACATGATGTACTTTAGGTTTATCAGTGACTAGACTGTATAGGTTTTAATACCATTTGTACAATTAGTAGATGTATTCAAAACGCGTTACTGTAAAATGTGGGGTCCGCAGTGGCCGCGCGGTCTGAGGCATGGGCCTTGTGCCGCTTGGTCGCTGGGACCGTGGGTTCGAATCCCACTCAAGCCATGGATGTCTGTCCGCATTTTTCTGTGTTGTGCTGTCCTGTGTACAGGTAGAGGCCTTGCGACGGGCCAATCCCTCGTCCAAGGAGTCCTACCGAATGTCTATAGATCAAGCCAATGAAAAGTTGGGACCCACAGTGCTCAGGCACTTGAAGAATGGGTTGTTCCCAGTATCCAGTACCGTAAAATGTCTCATGTCAAGTTACAATGATTAGTCACTTGTCATTACATTATGGTCAGTATATTATTTTACATATTTCTAGAATAATAACAAATTATCTGTTATGAATTACAGGAAAGACGACTGCCATCTTTGTACTCACTGCCGTGAGAACCTCAAATCATACAGTGATGGGGAAGTCTACTTAAAAACACATTTTTATTGAAAAATCTAACATAGCAAAATATAAAAATTAATATCATTACTTCTTTGGTTAATGACATTATTATATTTAATCATATCATCAAACATGATCTGAAGTTTCCACGGTGACTAAGTATAATGAATTCTTCTCGGGCTACCAGCTGTGTAAGGTGGTTCAGGTTATGTTTGCTTGTGAAATATAAACCATCCTTTACTGGCTGATTATATCCATATCTTTCATTCAAGGAATTATGTATGGTGAAGTGTACTTTTTAAGAATTATTGACAGCTGCAATATTCTTATACTATATCTTAATATTTAGTGTCCGGCCACCTAAGAAGACATGGAAGATTATCTCAAATCTCTCTGGTGGTGAGAAGACGTTGTCTTCTCTCGCCCTCGTGTTTGCTCTCCACTATTACAAACCAACACCTCTGTATGTGATGGACGAGATTGACGCTGCCCTTGACTTTAAAAATGTTTCTATTGTGGGACATTACATCAAGGTAAGTACCAGTAGTATGTATAGCTTATTTTATTTTCTAATGGTTATTTATGATAGTGGTGTGCTCATTGAAAGACTGAAATGGATAGTGTGTTAATGTTTAAATTATGTTACGGGGGGTCACACTTCGGCTTCATCATTCTTACATGGGGATACACAAGATTTACCTGGGCAGTTTTGATTCTTTTTCAGCGTAAGTTTTATTAGCGTATCGAAACTTGCTTTAATTTATGTTAAATTTATTTCACTTCTTTGTTTCTGATATTTTTGTGTTTATCTTTACCATGGCATGGTGATGGACCTGTAAACTGGACTGTCACTATGTTCACATGTTGGCAGCACTGTATTTATGTTTTGAGTTCTGTTATGGTATTATGTATTTTACAAGACAAGAAAGTGACCATATGAACATTATAAGAATCTTCCAAGAAACATTTAGTGCAATTCAGTCCCATTTAATCCGTGTATTTTTCTTTCTAGGAAAGAACGAAGAATGCTCAGTTCATAATCATCTCTCTTCGTTCAAATATGTTTGAGTTGGCTGACCGACTGGTGGGCATTTTTAAAACATACAATTGTACGCATTCCATAACCTTGAACCCGATGTTGTACGGTATGCCTGGTGACCAGGCTTGCCAACAGATACAGAGACAGCCTTCTTCACAGGCGTCCAGTCAGGTGAGACAAGTCACATGGGGGTAATTGTCTTGAGTCAAGCACTGTGATTATTGTGTCTGATAAAGCCAGCGTAGCTCAAACGGTATAGTCACTGGGATGACCAGGGCTTGCTTCATAGCAGGAATTTTTCTGTTTGCCGCCATGTTCAGAGTAGCTACGGGGGATGGAGCTTTATGCATCTTCTCTACTGCCTCATACATCTTCATGGTGTGATGCTTCATCATAAGAACAAGTTTATGCTTTTTACTGTTTTGTCTATAGTGCAGTTATCTAGTTTGCTGACGTTTCATAGAGCCTGCAAACCACAGCCTGTGACAGATTTCAGGCTGTTTCACAACTTTCGAGTAGGAAAATTAAAACTAAATGTTTTGCTGACGATGCCACTTTCAGTGCTTTTGTAATATCAAGTAAGTATTATTGTGGTCGTTGTTGTGAAGGGGAGAGATTATGTCTGGAATTGCAGCAGTTATCGGGCCCATTGTCCAGTCCTCCATATGGTACGTTTGTGAGCAGTGGTTTAGTGATAGGAAAATCGAAGAACTTCGAGAAAAACCTGTCCCAGTTCCACTTTATCCACCACAAATCCTATATTGGCTGTCCTGGGCATGAACCTTGGCTTCTGTGATGATATGCTGGTGACTGCTTGAGCTATGGCATGGCCATAAGTACGGAAGCAAGTAAAGTGGTTTAATTTATAATATTTTTTGAGAGATGGGATCTCCAAGTAGAGCATGTGGTAGTATATTATCTTATGTCGGAGAAGCCACATGCTGGCCACCATCTGTGAACTGGTTATAATAAGACCATGAATGTATGTTCTTCATATTAATTAAATACAATACACCAACCTCATAGCATCATTCACTTCATATAGTGGCAGATTTAGCATGAACTATCTCTTTAATGCAGCTTGTTAATTGACAGGCGAAGAGCTGTTGTTTTGTATCCATCTTGTCTCATGAATTCATTCATGCAGTAAATTTTTTACTGCCATGGCTAGCTGTTAGAACGCTGGCCTTGTAATCCTGGGGTCTCGGGTTCGAATTTATAACTTGTGTTGGGCAAGGCCGTGGTCTAGGCAACACGGAGTTTTCCTCCGGGGGCTTCCCCGGTTTCTCCGTGGCATCCCAACAATTACTCCATTCACACACAGAAGAAGGCAATGGCAAACCACTTCTGGATCATCTGCCAAGAACGTATATGAACAGGTCCCAGTCTGAGAGAAGGATGGAAGGATCTTGTTCGTAATATGTCGCCAACCTCCTGTAAAGGAGACGGCGTAATAAAGAAGTAAATTTTTAAAAATGTATTGTTTTCTTACACTTGAAAACTTTATCAAATTATTAAAATAAGTGGCATCTGACATCGTCCGACTATACAGCAATTGCATATGTAGTTCTGAACTTGGTTACAGGCACCTCAGACTCCTGCCGTAAGTGATCTCGTTTCACCAGACAAAGATCGCCGGAGAAAGATACGAAGCAGAGATAGCCAGTTCACTCATAACACTGAAGTCAGTCGTACATCACATGTTTCTCAAGAGGATATATCTGTTGCAGTCGGCGTCGCTACGGCTGAATCGGACTCTCTAGATGTCAGTATGAGACTGGAAAAATAACTGCAGTAGAAACATTTAGGAAACCTCTGTTTTTATATGTTGTTTCATTTTTTATATGGAAATGAAGTTGGAATAATTCTGGAAAGAATTTTTGTACCATCATTTTTTCTTCTGAAATTAAATTGTGTCGTATCACAGGCTTGGTTTTCTAATGAATTTCCATGGAAGTGGGGTGTTGCCTGGACACATCTGTGTTTTGTGCGCTGATTTCTCTTTTTATTTTGCTCCCAACTCCATACCACAGGTCCGAGTACGTAACTCATGCCGTAGAGGCTTCCTTGAGCAGTTGATGGTTTATTCACCTCATCAAGAAATTCCATGTTTTGGAACCCGAAGGCTCAACGCCGTGTTCATAAAACCTACAATAGAACTCTGTCCTGTACAGTTCACAGCTTTCCAACCTATTTCTCGTAGATCTATTTTAATGTTATCCATCCATCCAAATGTAGGTTCAGATGCATTTCATATTTCTCCTGATGCCCTGTCCAGTGTACAGGTTTTGAAATTCTTCGTTATGTAATTTTATAATTTTTGTATTTTGTCTCTGTTGGATCCACCTATTCTTTTCAGCGCCTTGTTTCCAAAAATTCCATCGTTCTCTTTTTTTCCTCAGAATGAAAGGCAGACACAGAAAAGGTAATATTTTTCTTTTATGTACTGATATGAGTGTATGCTTTTAAGCCCATTCAGAACGAAGTTGAAAAATGCACCCACAATTTTTGTCATATGTGTCTGTCCACGCGTAACAACTCCGGAAGAAGAATAAGGAGAAACAAGAATTGCTGTACACATTTTCTATTAATTTTGGTGTTGGGAGTTTTCTAAAATTTATCTACATTTCAGTTTTGTTTAAAATCGGGTGATAATAGCAGACGCTTTACGTGAAGATCTACATGCGTTATTGCGCACGTCTAGACCGTAACTTGTGGAACATTTAATGGAGTAAAAAGTATTTCAGATGAAAGTAGATAAAACAGATTTTATACCAAAGATGACTGTCTTCTGGGATGTTGGACCATGTAATCTGGTATGTTTACTGCCTTCATCATCAGAGCAATGAAGCCCCGAAGATGGAGACGTTAAGCACCTCTGAAGTATTGGTCAGTTTATATACTTGCCACTGTAAGAGCCTAAAGTCTCACAGATTTTATGCCAATACACTTTTTTCTGTAAGTTTTTGAAGCCATTTTTAATTGAATTTTGTCAGTAGTAAATATTAAGTTGCTGCCATACGCAGAAATTATCTTGGTTCAGGATAATTCAAGCTGCATGCCCCATATCTTAATATTAGGGCTTAGACAATATTGACTTCACATGAAGAAGTATTCAAAATTACCGTGTGACTACGCATGAGCTGTGATGGGGAAAATGACACCCAGGTTTGATTCCCTGTAGTGTGTTCATGAAGGTTCTGAGACCAATGTTTGGGATAGAAATTATAACCACTGATAAAATAACGTATTTTCTCGATTTTAAGACACCCTTGATTTAGTAATAGGTCTTCAGTGAATATAAATACGTATATTACAATAGTAATTGTCAAAATTCAAATATAAAACTTCTTTATATTAATATCTTCGGAAACTTTGTTGCTGTCTTCGTGTTTAGGACATGAAGATTTTCCTCGCGCTTCAGTCATACAACATGAAAAGTAAGAAATGCATACAAAATTTTCGTTTAGGAATTTAATGTGAAGAGGCCACGTGGGTTATCAGATCACATGTAGGAAGGTGATAAATAAATACATCTTGGAGAACGAGGTTGATAATGTGATCATGGCCATGAACCAGAATTCTGTAACACGACTAAACGTTTCCGACGTGTTGACCATCTTACGGAGACTGCATTATTTCTGGCTGTTTTCAGCGGTTATCGGTTTTCATAGATTAACATATGGTTTTAAAGCATCAGGTTGGTCTACAGACGCTATGCTCTGATCTAGCCCCCTTCCTCGCGACGCCGAAGACGCCTTGACCTAGAGGGAAGGTTAAATCGAGAAGTGAAAGCCATCATGGTGCATTGACTGCGAATTGACGACGTCGTCCGCAGTTGAACACTTTTCTTCCGTCCGGCCGGTTTCGTCTTGTCCAGACAAGGTAAGCACACTTTTTGTGTTATCAGTAGCAACCCCTGATGCAAAGCTCACTAGAGGCGGGCTGTGAAATTTTGGTCAAAAGATGTATATTGACTTCGGATCACCGTTTTTGCGTGGTATGTGGAGAATATTTTGCAAATTTTCTCGTTAGTTTAGGTGGTATCTTACTTTTAAAAATCTGTTGTCTCTCAAAGGTAAGACTGCAGAAATTCTTTCTTGCTTTTTAAATATTTAACATTTTTGAGGTTATAAATGCTATTTCGTTTTAATGCATGGTATGTATGATTTGTGTTACTGTTAAAAGTGATTAAATAATTCTACAAATGGGTTTTCGTATTTTTCAAACCGTCCACCCAGAAAAAATTAAAGGAACTATACAAACTGTATTTTTAATTGACATGACTTGTAAACTATGTAAACATTTAAAAGTCTGTGCTTAGATTTGTTCTATGTGTCATTGTGTACAATTTGCGAAAAAGTGTAGTTTTGATATATTGAACAATATGACACTGGATGTTTTGTTTATTACTATTTTTTTAAAATACGCATTATTTTAGGAAAAAACTAACACAAACAGTAATTTTGAGAGTACATCACGATGTCAGCACTACTGCAACGTTATCAGTTAGACTTACAATTGCTTCCAGTTGTATACTTTAAAAAATCGCCCCTTTTCAAGAGTCTCCCCTTAATTTGGCTTGTTGTCTACAGCTTCCGCGAATTTATTTTTTTTTTTTCATTCCTAAAATAATCAATTGTTCTTGCTAAACATCATTAACCGACTAATGGAGATAGGGTACTATTCTTGGAGACATAAACCAATTTTTTTAATGTTGTTCAAACGAAACTTACTGTTAAAAGTTATAACATTAACCAACAAATATATGTTGATCGTAATATACTGATTTAGGGAAACCTATGAGATACTGAACGCCAGGGTGCTGCATTTGAAAGACCTTGTGACTGGTCACCTCTGTGTAGAATCTGACATCACACAAATGCTGATACAGTTCTCATGTTTCAAGTTACATCAGTTACATTCTTCAAAATCAAATTCGTCGAAATGTCTTTATTTTCATTATAAAAATTCGATGTTTATGGAGAAAGCAAAACTTCGACGTTAGCATCGTCCGTATAATGAACTGCTGTGATTTGTATTGTAACTGCCAGGATACAACATTATCTTGTCCTTTTGTTCTGTGTGCGTCGTATATAATATTAAATGTTCCCGTACTATTCTAAATTATTTTTGTGTGAGAATTTGTCTGTTTAAGTGATGTCAGAATTCTGAAAATGACATGTTCACAAATATAGATATCTACTTCTCGTCAACAAACCGAGTCCGCAATTCATGTGAGCCATTGTTGTAACACCACCACGAACAATAACTGCTGTTACCATTGTCACTAATTTTTGCTTCCAAGTTTCAAATATAAATTTATTGTTACAATCTAAAAATTATTAAGATATACTCAGTTACAAATATTGATGAGCTTAAAAATCTGTACTCCGCCCCCAATATTGTCAGGGTGATTAAGTCGAGAAGAGACCTCTGGGGAGACCTAGACGTAGATGGGAGGATAATCTCAGGTGGGATCTATGGGAGATAGGAGTTGAAGGAGACTGGATTTTGTTGGCCCAGGACAGGGTCCGGTGGAGGGCTTTGGTTAATTCGGTGATGAACCTTCGGGTTCGGTAAGCCATCTAGTTGGTTAGTTATAGATAATAATGTGAAAGACAATTTATTCGGGTTTTTTATTTGAATTTGTGACTTTATATAATCATTCTTATATTCAAAGCCTTGTAAAAGCTCGCTACACTGTCGTGCCGCGGCACACTGGTTGAGAACTACTGCACCAGGTCAATCAGAGACAATGTTTACTATGCATCGTAATTCCAAGGACAGCCGCTCAGCTATGCCAATGCAGTCTGTAAGAGCATTGGCATTATTTTGTTTACGGGTATAATCAGTAAGACGTTTTAACAAATTGCTTTCTTTTTCTCTAAAACATGTTCTTATTTGTTACTGTTGAATTTTTGTGTTATTTATTTTAATGCTCGCTGTAATTGGCCATTCAGCAGTTGCCAAGCACAGTAATAAATTAATTGAATTATATTATTATTGTACGCAGACCATGTCATTAAAATCTAAAACTGCATGGCTGAACGAATTTGACTAATAAACTGGCTCACTGGGCACATAAACAAGACCGAGCTATCACACAACTTGACCCAGTAGGGAACAAGAGACGCTCGACGTCTTGTCTGCTGTGAGAATCTCGACCAGAGGCTTTTTTTTTGTATTTTTGGTTTTCGCGATTTTCTTAAATCTTTCTACCTGTCACTACCTCATTCTTTCAAACCCCTCCTAACGGAAGACTTCTGATCAATCTTGCATTAAATTTGAAGCTGTATAATCAATGTAGTTGATACAGAGTCGTTAAACTACCTTCTCGTCAATATATTGTGACGTAGTCGTAGTGATACCCTTGGTAATGCCGTCTTTAAGCAATCCACTATCAACGTTTTCTCCCAGTCCTCTCATTTCTCATTAAATGCTTTATAAATTCTGTGCTTCACGTAAGATCATAAAGCATAGTCGTTCTTCAGAAGCTAATAGTCATTCAGATGGTAAAGACATTTTTTTTTCATTCTTTTATGTAACCCAAATGTTCATTACCGTCTTCTCCGGAAACTTGCCAAGTCAAAATTAGCTCACGCCTTCAGAACTAGCTTCTATAATACATTTTAAACTGTACTTTCATCATTTCCTAGGTCTCCCAAGAAGTCTGTTTCCTCCAGAATAAAATGATTCCATGATAGTTGCATTTCGTCAAGACACAGCGATGCTTTCGTGTTGAAGTCTTGTTATTTTACTGAAGTGCTAAATACAGTTTCATAAAATCACTGCTCACAGTGAAAGGAATAAAACGAATTTCTAGAGAGGGTTCAAAATGAAGTTTTCATTTATCTAGGAGGTGGTGATAAACGTGGCCTGTTTGTTAACTGCGTGATTGTTGATGCCTTGGTAGTCACTGAACGCACGTAAACTAATTGAAAGGAACTTTTTTTATTTATACTTTAAACTTTAAAGTATAAATAAAAAAAGTTAAAGTTTAAAGGACAAAATAGCGACCGAAATCGTGCAAATATACGCCTACGATATTATTTGTCTACATAAGAAAGTAGTTCTTCAGGGTATGAGTTAACGTTTATATTGCTAACTTGACTTTGGTTTTCCCTTGCTCAAATTAATGAAAACATTCCCTTAATAAAATTAGTAAAACAATGAAAGTGGCATTGCTAAATGTATTTATTTTATTCATTGAATGCGTGCATTTATGTTTCTTGAATACCTGTATTTTCTGTAACCTGTTTGAGGTTTCGTCTTTGTAACTCCGCTCGGTAGGCGGAGGGACAATTTCATTTTGCAACCAAATGGCACGAGTAGAGATACAGTCCAATTCATCGTCAGTCGTGAAGTAATGACTTCTCCGCCCTGCACGAAACGATAGTCCAATTATCGTAAATATAAACACAACCAAGCTTAACACGGCGCCTTTATTCCAAGTTATTTACTTAAAACCCAGTCGAATAACTCCGATTATACTAAATAACTTCCAACAAAAATGTAACCTAGTTTAATTCGGTTTTGGCCACAGTCAAAACGCTCTCTAAATTTCTTTTCAAAGAGTTCCGGCGTAGAAATAGATTAAGCCGATTGCATTCTTTTTTGTGGTCGTCTGTTTTGGGATCGTGTTTAAAATGTTACAGTAGTTGTCACCAAACTGTATTCTTCATGGTTACCGAAAAATCATACGCCGTTGCAGTATGAACAGCGGAGCCCATGCGAGTGAAGACAGCTTAGAACGTGCAGCGTAGCAAAGCTAGGTGGGGGGGGGGGGGTTAAGCCCTTACGTGGCCTTGAAGCATGCAATTTGGTGACGACTACTACAGTTCAGTAGTTGTCTCAACTATTACATTACTTAGGTACATTTTTAATATCGCGGTAATATTTATCCGAAACTTTCTGGAGCCACTCGTATTTTTGTTTAATTTCGTTCATTTTATGGACCACTGCACGCGCAAGCTTAAACGAAATCTCACGAATCATAACTTCTTGAGTCATTAAACAGATATTGACGAAACTCCGTATAAAGCACTTCTACATGTAACGAATGTTGCCATGTGTAACGAACTACAAGGAGCAGAGTCCCTCTTGAGGAATCAGTAGTTGCTCAGCTATTCAAAAAATTACTCATATTTTGTGGATCCCGAATGTTAACTACCATGCTCGGGATGAGCCTGGCATTGGATCCTGTCCAGACACTGCAATCCATTTGTCTTATCCATTTTAATATTATCCTCTCATCTACGAATAGTTGTTTCAATTAGTATCTTCCCATCAGGCATCGAACATAACTAATCTGTATGATTCCTTTAATATGAAAGACCAAGTTTCATGGTGGCGTTGATTTTACCTACTTTAATTAATCTTAACGCTGATTGTTTTCCGCTCAGATTAAATTTGCAATGTGCCGACTGCTTCCTGCGACCTCAGGTGTGATGTGGCAACAGCAATGGTCCTAATTCCGTCCATTCGGTTTACAGGTATTTCGTATATATCTAGCCATGAACCATGTACTTTAATGTCGCAAGAAACTGATACGTTTTGAGTGTAACATCCTGTGATAGCAGGAGACCTACATCAACCCAAAAATAATACTGGCCGGTTAGTACTGAGTTACGTGTATCCTGTATTCCACATCGTGAGGATCAGGTTCGTGATCGTTCGTTGCTGAAACGATTAGAAACACTCCTCCACTCTTGGCTTTTTAATACATGCTTGTTACTGCCTTTAATATGCAGGACTTCTGACCTCGTTTATACACAACGAACAGAAGTAAGAAGTATGAAGGCCACTTTTACGTAAAGTAAAAATATTTATATGCTGTTGGGAAAAAAATGCAGAGCTGGTAAATACTTCTATCATTACCAGAAAGAAAGTCTTACAAAATACAATCCACTTTAATATCCCTTTAAATAAACCGGGCGTCTAAATAATATTTAAGAATTCAGTCTGTACAGCAAAGAAAACACAATATTTTACCATTAAAAAATATCAATTAGTTAACACTGTTTAAGAAAATTATCTCTAATTTTGACGTCCATCATTTTGGTTGTTTGTTAAAACACACACACGACGTTTCGGAAACTCATTTTCTCCATAATCATGTACGACTCAGGTCTGCTTACTACTATGGGCACATCAGACAGCTAGTCCCAGACACTGGACCTACAGCTTCGACTTCAGTAATGAGACTGTATCTGTGTAAGGGTCTCACCGAAGTACCCGCTTCTCCCAAATTCCTCCACCTGATGACGGAGAGAGACATCCCGTCATTTCAATACACTATCGTCAGAACCCTTTTCACTTAAAATAATTCCTGTTTACACCGAGAATCGTAAAAGACCCATAAATACTAAAATGCGGATTTACTGAGGAGCATTCAGAATGCCTCTTTGAAGTAAAAAAAGTGTGGAAAATCTGTGTGCTGTATGAGATTTGAGGTTCATTATTAATTCTGGAATGAAATGGAAGCAACAGCTCATGGCATTCGCTTAACAAGACTGGAAAGGTGCAATCGTACCTAAATACATGTTTTTACATGTGTTCTTTGCAAATTTTCCTTTCTAACTATCCTAGCTCTCAAATAGATTAATCGAAAAAGTTGCCTAGGTTCTCAACCTCACGAAACATACCCCAAGCTAACCACTCTAACCTGACCGAAAATAATCTAATCCAGAGGGGGCTGCGTCCCATGTAAACATGGTAACAAAGTTAGCAATGGTAACTATAACTGAGGTAAGTAGGAAAACATGGAAACTAATACAAACTTTGTAGATCATTTAACAGAAAAATCATGGTTTTCGAAGTACCCGTGGTACAACCAATGGTAGTCTGTGTAAACGAGGTAACCATATATTCATGGTAACGTTCATGCACTTCCTGCAAGGAACGCAAAAGAATTTCTAGCTTAAAAAGTGTTGGTGGGAGGCTAGACCTGAGCCCTCTCAGATATTAGACAAGGGCAACCCCCCCCCCCCCCCCCCAGAAAGGTGGTAAAATGTTCACGAAAGTAAAAAGCTTGTCGTCAAACAGCATTGAAATATCTACAGTTCCTTACCAATCGATATCTAACATTTATTTACAGTGGAATTAAATCAAATTGAAGAAAATTACTAAAAAGTAGGCCAGCAAGTACAAGTGAGTGTATGGACAAGAGGGCGGTTGCCGGCGTCCACAGAAAAGGCAAATTTGCGACTTTTGTATTTCGTTCTGTGTTCTGCAACAAGGGCGGTGACGTTCGACACAGTTCAAACGATTGCAGCTTTCCCAAGTTACACCGGATGTGAAGTACGTATATTGTTTCAACTTACGGGACCTCGTCCAAGTCTACTGTTTCCCCAACTCCTAGAATCTAGTGAACTCTATTTATCTAGACTTTTTGGGATAATCTGAAATCTGAACACAGTAATATCTCAGTGCCCATTTTGTCAAGCGTGTTTCCTGTCCTGAACATCAGAACTACTTTATTGAACAATTGCGATGAAATTATAATATCGCGTATTTAAGTGTCCACAGAAATCTTAATGCCCTTGAATATGTTATTATTACTGTCAAAGGTATATTACAATTTTGAATAATATGGTCGTAATACGGCCCGCCACCTCCCCTTAAATCAGATAGTCCCCCCCTCCTCCAGCTTCTACTTGCAAGAAACAATTCAGTTGTAATGTTCCCTCTGCAATGCATCTTAATTCTCACGGACTGCAATGTCACAATGCATCTGGCCATGTTCTTCTTTTCCGCCATTAATGTTACGTTCAGGAAAATTGTGGGTTTATGACAAAGATTAAAGACACGTAACAATGAAGGCAAGACGTGACGTAATGTTTGCATGCCGGGCATTCATGTAGCCTTACATGTTTCTCGTTCAGACGTTGGCTATAATGAAACTCAATAATTACGATCGGAATTTTTTTTCTTAAAATGACTGTATTTTTGTAACAACAATAGAGATTCAAGTATGCATTTATATTTCTCCCTTTACAAACCTTGAAATTGTCATGTAACAGCTATTTTTCGTTATCTTTAACAGTAGGTCCTTATTCAGAAATAAATTGTTTTAGTAGCAAGGCTAACAACCTTGCACCGTAAAAAGGAAGATGTTTCGAAACCTCAAACTCGGACAGACGGACACAGAAGGACCGAATGGAAGAGGAAAATTGAGGAGGCCATGGACCGAATACGGACTGGAGAGCCATAGAATAAGAAGAAGAATATGTTCAAATATAAATGTTGTTGAGATGTGAACAAATTACTAAAGTTTCATATTATTTTAAATTTTCTCCTGCAATAGCTTGTATCTGACACAAGAATCACGACTTCATTTCAAATCCTTCGGCGTGAATAAAATAAACTAGCTTGTAGTAACTAGTAACAAATTAACAAATAATTTCACAGGCCTGGTTGGTCTCAAGGCCGAATGTCTTAATATGATTCTGATTGGTTCTTCTGAACGTGTTAACTTAAGATAGTGTTGCAAGTTGGAACTGTGGATGGCTATATAAAACAAGTTTTTGAAAGAGACTGTACTAGTTTAAAATGTAAATATATTAGCCTACAAACACATCATCTGATTTATGGATTCTTAGTTTCTCAGCTGAGAAGTGTAGATGCTGTTTGTGGACAGATTTCCTGTACTTTGGTTACAGGAAGACGTTGCGTATTATTCAGTTACATTAAGATGGATTTTACTTCCATAAATAGACGTCAGTGATAGCGCTGCTTGTCGTCTATGCACGATTGAAACTACATGAGTATTTATTTTATGATTATTTAGTACAGAGTTGTTGAAAAAGCTCTCCCTTGATCCAGGAGTGTGTGAAAAACATTGTCAGGACAGTTTTCCTATATTCTATGTACAATTTAGCCTACATAAATTTTAACTGTACCATTTATATTATACTTATTTGGCCTTCTTTATATTTCACCTACTTTCGCATTTACCTAACACCAGTTCGTCTATTCCATTCTGTCTATATAACATCAGGCGAAGTTGTAGCTTTTTATTTTGTATCCGGCAGTTTTAACTTCCATTTTTAAAAAAACCTATCTTGAATTTTGACAAAAGTTGTAGCTTTTTATTTTGTACCCGGCAGTTTTAACTTTTTTTTTAAAAAAACCTATCTTGAATTTGACAATATTGGCAAAACCGATTTCTTGCATTTTATCCGCACGCACAAAAGTTTTTACGTGTAAACTGTGTCAAAATATAACCTATTTATTTGTGTGATAATTTCATATTTTTGCACGTGTGAACTGGAATAGGTTAAAATGTCACCGAAATAAACATGGTGACATGTCTGAACATGAAACTACAATTGACTAGTTGACGTAGATGAAGTTGGTGTAGGTAAGTGCAGGTCAACCAACTGTCACGTAACCGCGAAGGACGCCGGTAACCGGACGACTCTTATGGAGAAATGGCATGTGAAGTGGTTGTTGAAGCAGTTTGTGCGTGTTTGTCAGGTTTTAAGAAATACAGTCCTTTTGTAATTATACCAGCTGTTTAAGTAAACAAACTATGACGCAGCGTGCATGGCGTTTGAATATGTACTGTATTTAAAACGAATCAGACCTCCACATTTTGATGACATTGACAGCAATTATTCACGTGGTATAGAATATCCCTGTTGTGAAACCCGAGCTTTCATTAGTATGTTCACATAGCCTGTTCGGTTAAACTCGTTCTGAACTTGCTTAACTCAGTTGACATCTTCAGTGTATTTTTGTTTAAGGTATCTTTCAATAATGCTCTCCCCCATGAGCTAATGTCTGTAGATATCCAGAACTTTGCGGGTCATTTTAATAAATCTTATTCCTAGTTGCATGCAATCTTCATAGGTTTTAAATTATGGGTTTTGTGAAATTATAAAAGGGTTTGTGCTGTAGAAGTTGGCAATGTGAAAATGGTTTTATAAAGATAGAAACGCTTGTTTAATTCATATTCAAAGACGAGTTTTGTTTAAAAGCGTTTTGTTTAAAAAGTGTCCATGTTATGAAAGTGAAATATGGGAGAAACCTGATAAGATTTAACATTTTATAAACAAATGCATGCCATTTGCATAAAAACGCCAGTGTTAATGAACTTTTTAAGGCGTGACCATATTATTTTAAATTTACACAACACCATGAGTCAAAACTAGGTTATCCCTAATAAAAATCGACATAACTCGTTCCAAAAAAAATAATCTTGCATATCTAGAGTGACCGTACAATCAGGAGACAAGATACATTGAACCTGCATTCGGACAGTTCTAGACCAGCAGACTTGTTGCAGTGACTGTTTGCCGGAGGGAGTTGGTAGGACGATGAACATATATCTTTATATATGATTTGAGGTTTTCACAGGTGAGTATGAAGATTTCTGTCTTCTGGGTTGTTGCGCTGTGTAGTCTGGTCGATGTTAACCAACGTTTCAGAGTTCATACTGCCTCCGTCATCAGGGCGATAGCTTTATGTTGTACGTCTTTAGGAATCCCTC